CAGACAGATTTAGCAGGCAAATCCTATGTTCTCTCTCGGATGACTGCCCTGCTGAACTCAACAGCGCTTAATTCAGAAGTGACCCACGTAAGACTGTGCTATTTTTAAAAATAACAACAGGGAACAGATACCTCTGAGCACCTGTAAATTACCAAATTAAGCACTTTGCAGGGCCTGTTAAAATACCCTTTGTTCCAGCAGAAGCTTGCACATTCAGCAGGTGAAAAGGACCGTGAAGACTTCAAGCCCGTACAGGCAGGATCTTGTTTCTCCCGGCTAAGGAACCCCCATAGCGCTGATAAGTAGATACGAAGATGATGGAATGTGGTCAGCCAAAAATCTGAGCTGAAAACGGTTGGCTGGCTGTCCCTTTATTTGTTTTTTAAAAGAGCCCTGTAATTCTTTTTAAGGCAGAGCCATTTTGCCCTCGGACAATACATGCCTCTTAAGACAAAGCAATACAAGGGCTTGCTCACCTTTGATCATAAAGGATTTTTTTAAAATTCAAAGATAATTTGTGTATGAACAGAGAGAGGCACTGGGTTTTCCTTCTCCTTCCCCCCCCAAAAAACTCCAGCTCAAGGGAAGCGAAGCAGAAGCTATGAAAGAAGCAGGTATTCACAGAGGCCCAAAATTCTGATTTCCTGGCTGTTTGAACCCTTTATCTCTGCTCAATTAGACAGGAGAAAGATCGGAAAGGGCAGCTGGCAGGGCTGGAACAACTAAGAGGCCTTCCCGATCTGTCAAAAAAAAGAGACCTTCTTATGAAACCGAAAAGGAAGTGAGTGAGATCAGAGGAAACACGTGGATCCAATGAGCAAAATACATTTTCCCCTTTGTGTAACAGCTATGGGGGGGTTTGAACCTCAACACCACCATTGGAAGAAATCTGTGCATGCTCAGAGGCATCCTTCCCTTCCATCCCTTCCCTCCCTGCTGAAACTTTCCAGCGAAGCTCTGTGGAAGCCCAGAGATTTATTCCCTTCTAGCACCTTTTTCTTTTTTGCGTCTTCCCAAACTCAAAGCTAAAAAGAAGGTAAGAAACAGGAAAGGAAAGAAGCCCCAGGATCCTTCCTGCCTCTTGCGCGGGGTCTTCTGGTGCGAAGAGGGCGGCTGGGTGGGCGACTGGAGGCGGCCAGTGCCTCTGAGCGCATGCAAGAGTGCCGTTTAACCAGAAGCGGATGAAAACCAAAGGGAGGAAAAAAAATAACCAGGGAAAGAGAAACTGGCCCCGAGAGGCAGAACACGCCCGATGGAAAGAGCACGACAGATTAGAAGGAACGTGCATTGCATGCTCAGAGGCTCTTCTTTTCTGGAGGGTTTCCTCCCTCCCTCCTTCTTCCTTCTGGAACACAACGCAAATAAAGAGGAAAACCCACGAAGTGAAGCAGAGGCACCCGCTGCCGCCCCGATGCTCTCAAGGCACGGGGGGGGGCTTCCTCCGCGGCAAGAGGGGGGGAGTTCCGCCGGCTCCTGCCTCAGGCTGCCTGGGTTCGTGGGGCGGATCAGGCTTTTCCAGAGGGGAGCCCTGCCAGCTAAAGGAAGGTCCCGTGCCCACACACACACAAACACACCTCACCTTCCAGGGGTGTCCTGTCGGGACCCATGGCCCCCCCAGCCATCCAGCTCTCCCGCCGGGTTATGCTGCTGCTGCTGCTGCTGCTGCTCCAGCTGCTGCGCCCAACCTGGCCGGGCTGCTGATCCCGCAGAGGCGCTGCCATGGAAATCAGAGACGCCCCTGGATTGGCCGATGTCTCGCCGCGCCCCATTGGCCGAGCTCGGCTGATGGACAGGGGCGGAGGGCGGGGAGGAGTTCCCCCCTCCCGTTTTTGGGAAGTTCCCCCCTCCGCCCTTGCACGCTCCAAACCCCCAGCCAGCCCCCCCCACGTGGTGCAGCCGGAGGAGGGAGGGAGGGGCGCACATCTGGAGGTGTTGCACAGCTGGCCGGCCAGGGGAGAAGCAGCTGCAGGGAGGGAACATCTGTCAGGAGGAGGCCGATGGGTTGCAATCAGGCCATCATCCTCCCTGCTGCTTTGTTAACTATTATTCTTACCATTCCTCCTCTTATTGCCATTATCCTTATAATTTGCTTTTCTCAGTCCTCTTCCCTCTGTGCCACCCAGTCGCTTCCAGTCCTCAGGAGGCCAACTAAAGGCAGGCTAAGTTTCCAAACAATCCTTGTAACGTAAAATAAACACATCGAGTTTGTTTGCTTCTCTCTCTCTTTTTTGTAAATCATAAAAGAAAAATGAATGCCCACATTGAAATTCCAACAAAAAAATCAGTCAAACCAAACACAACAGTAAAACATTAAAAATCAGTGAAGTCCACCAAGCAGTGAAAATTACGATAGTACTGTACGTTAAAGGTTAAAAATCAGTGAAGTCCACCAAGCAGTGAAAATTACGATAGTACGTTAAAGGTGCTTTCTTGTTTCCGTGTGACCAAAACGGGACCTTGAGATGGTCAAGGAGTGGTTTGCCACGGAGGCCCACTGGTGAGTTGCTGACACTCAGAATCACCCTCATCTGGGCGTACAAGGAAACACACCCTCGCACCAGAAACGGCCACGGGTCTCTCTCTCTCGTGCCACCTTTCCAGCAAAGGGGTTGGTTTGGCTGATGCTTTCGTGGGCTTCTAAGCCCACCAAAACCTCAAGGAGCAGGCTTACGGCCCCCAACCACAGAATGGCGAATGATCAAACTTCCTTTTTGTATTTCCAACGACAATTTGTTTCTGTTACAACTCTGTTGGTGTGAAGAAGTATAATGCATGCAACCAAGATTGCACTTTGGGGGCTAATCTTGGCCAGATACCCCAAAGGCCTAGAGTCATTACTCTCTGGCATTGGTTCCCAAACTTGGGTAAACTTTGGGGGCTAATCTTGGCCAGATACCCCTAAGGCCTAGAGTCATTACTCTCTGGCAGTAATGACTCTAGACAGGTGTTCCTGGATTACAACTCCCAGAAATCCTGGCCAGCCCAGCTGGGGACCCAAGGTTGGGTACCACTGTTCTAAGATTTTATTTTTAACTTTCTGCCTTTCAGAGACCAGGTTGCTGGTGAGGATGGGCAACCTGGTGCTCTCCAGATGTGTGACACCGCTATTCCCATGAGCCAGTACGAAAGGAATGTGGGTGTTGCGGTCAAACAACATCTGGAAGATCAAGGTTTTTCCAGATGTGCTCCAAGATGGGAATAGAGCATCCTGGGACCTTCCACAGCCCTAGACATTATATAATCAAAGCTTGAGAACAATGGGAGTTGTTTCCACTGTATCTCAAAGGCACAAAGGTGCCTCCCCCTCTTTTCGTATTTTTTATTTTCATATTTTAAAGTCCCTGCTGTCCGTACAACAGAAAGGCATATTCCTGATGCTTCACCATGATCCACTGAGCCCCCATCCAGGACCCAGAGCACTAAAAAAAAAATAGTAATACTCCTTTTTTATTTTATTTTTTCAATGTATTGTTCTCTGCTCCAAGATGCATCACGGAGCAAGGGTTCTGCACTGGGGTCAAACGATGTCCACCAGACCCTAACATTCTCACAACTTTTTTTAAAATGTCAGAACCAGAAGGTAAATATCCAATTCCTCCTGAATCTGGCCCCTTCTCTGCTTTTTTCTTTTGCCATTTCCACGCCTGGAACAGCCCACAGGTGAAACGTGATCCCTCACCCACCCCTGAAAAGTCTGACCCGATGTGGAATTATCTGTGCTAGAAGCACCAATCCCCCAACTGGAGACCCCAGAGGATCCCAAATGTTCTTGGACTACAACACCCAGAAGCCACGATCACTGGCGGTGCCAGGTGGACCTTCTCAGTACTGGAGTCCAAAAACATCTGGGAGCCTCTGGTTTGGAGAGACCTGCTTTAACCTTGCAGAACGTGGGGGAACGAATGCATTTTCTTTTGTCTTTAAAGCTGGGGGTGGGAAACTTCAGCAATAATGTTGGGAAGAAAGAAAACATAAAGAAGAGGGACACATAGGTGCTATGGAAAAAAAGAAAGGCACATGGTTTTAGACATACTTTGAAATTCACAAAAGGTGTACCCACATCTTGGTGACATGTTTGCTCCCGGGGTGTAGCTTTATTTAACTTGGGCACTTATTTGCTCACAGTGATAATGCAAGCCAGTCATCCAGGCACCCTTGTGCATATTTACCTGCGAGCAAATCCCATGGATTTCCCTTAGTAAACATGCACTGGTTGGAGCCCAACTCCATTAAGCAGCACGCCCTGATCACGTTCCCTATTTTGTTTCTTCCCATCCGTTAGGAGCCAAAGGCAAATGTCAACTGCGAAACAGCTTCCGCAGCTAATAATCACCCTGTTTTATTTAGCAAGTGCTACTAAAATTAGGCTCTGCAGAAAATAGACCTTTCCGAGCCGGTGGGCGTCGGAAGCAAGATCTGAATGATCCGCTCAGGAGGGTGAGGTGGAACGGATGAGGGGAAGACAGGAGGAAACGAGGAGGAGAAAGAGAAGAAGGATGATTGGGTTGGGTTGGGAATGAATCTGGAAGAAAGGACTCAATGCAAGAACTGAGAAATGTTTGCAGAGGAAACGCAGACCAAGTGGGTTTCTTAAAAAGAAGGAAAGTGGGGGGGAGTGCCATATAAAGGAGCAGGGTTTGAATTTCAAGGGGGGGGCAGCCATCCCATATGGCATTCAAAGTCCTTTTAGGCACCCCTCCTCTCTCTATGCATATGTATGTATTTGTATGTGTTTAAAAGTTCCATCCGGGATCCTCTCGGCAAAAACACGCAGGCCTTCCTCGAAATCCCCACGACACACTTCACGCAACGGGTCATGCCGTCGGCTTTTCAGCTGGTTGTATGAAGGATGTTCCACAAGGGGGTGAACCCTCTCTGGGTAGGATACCCCCACAAGGCCTTGAAAATAACAGCAACGGTAGCCGGAGAGTCTCCTCTCACATTAATTCTGTATCATTGCAAGAGTGGCCCAGGAAATCTCAGATCTAGTACTGTATACAGAGCTGGGATTTCTCTTCACGCTTTCCGGAAGGTTGCTTCTCTTCCGAAACGGCACAGGCCAAACAAAACATTTTTTTTCACAGCAAACAAACCTTTGTCCACCTGCTGACATGGGCAGGAACCCTCTCCGTAAGTCCCAAAGTTCAAAAGACAAGCGCAGGAGCAAAAGTGGTAGAAATATAAAGAACTCGAGACCGCACAGGCTGCTTTAGAGAAAACCCACAGATAAACGATCTCCCGGATTCAGGTTTTGGGAAACCAGAGGCGGATAGCTTTTACCGCACTTAATGAGCTCGAGACTAGTAAATTCTGTATTTTGGGGGAGTGGGGGGGCTTTGAGAGAGCAGCTACAGCAGGAAAAACAATCCCAACTCAGCTTTTCTGCTGGTGTTAGCAACTAAATCTTAGAATGGCACAGCTGGAAGGGACCCACTGGATCACTGAGTCTAGTCCCTAACAAGGAGGCACCGTGGGGGGAATCCCTGGACCATCCAGCAATCCATTTACTTCACATTTAAAAAGGGGGGGACAGGGGGGTCAAAGATTAGGAAAACAAAGATGCTGTTTCTGCTTGGTAGGAATCTGTTCGTGCCATCAAAAAAGCCCTTGGGTCAATGGAACCTTCTTTGCCCCGCTGAATTCTCAGACCTGCCAGTAAAGAATGGATCTGCTGGGTAAAATCTGCTGGCAGAAGAGGCGCCCCCCCCAAAAAAAGAGGAGGTGGAGAAGAGGGCGGGATGGAGAGAGGAGTCAAGTCATGACAGATCCAACCCTTATCCAACCCAGCCGTTCTGCCGGCATAAAGGGGAGTACCAAGTCATTCCCAGGAGTCAAAGGTTAACTTGCGAAAGAACTCAGCTCAGATTCAGGGCGGCCTCGGACAGCTTGGCGAGCTACGATTCTGCCCTAAGACACAACTGGGAAGCTGGAGACCCCAGAGGTTTCGCTAGCCCTCCACGGGCAGGCTCAGTGATGGATACAGAGGACGGGGGGGGGCAGAGAGACAGTGGCTGGATGGGGGCTGCCACAGCTTGTCACTTCTTCTCCCGCACTGGGGGGGGGGAGGCAGAGAGACAGTGGCAGGATGGTGGGTGCCACGGCTTGTCACTTGTTCTCCCGCATTACCTATTTCATTATCAGCACGCATGCCTGAGCCCATTCAGCCCCGGGGTTTTCCTTCACCTCCAAAGAACAGGCAGTGAATGATCACTTCCCATCTCGTCACCCTGCCTGACTTGGCAAGCAAGCGTTCAACTTCCCAGGCGTGGGCTACGAATCCTCCATCTGTGCCTGACTTCCGGGCGGCACAGAATCCATAGTCTTGATCCACCTTTGGGACCTCGGGGCACACAACGGCAAGGCGGGGGGGGGGAGGAAACCAGACAAAAAAACAAGCTGGGCCCCTCGGCAGCTCTGCCTCATCGGTGGCAGAGGGCTTCCTCGGAAGCAACCGGACTGCAAGAGGTGCGAATCTGCAGTCACTCCAAATGTTTTAAAGACGAAAACCTTTAAACACAAGAGGGTCCACCCAGGCCCTCACTTCTGGCGCTTCAAAACAGTGTGTTGGCAAAGAACTGCATGTAAATATTTTTTAAAAAAAATCTGGTGGGGGAATGAGGAGAGAATCATTTCACATTTTAAGCCGTTTCATAAATTCTTTTCTGTTCTTATTAAGGAACGATAAGCAATGCAAT